AATCGCTCCTCTCGCCCACAAAGGACTGAGCCTATTCATTCAGTTTTAATGCTTAATCAGAAGGAATTCTGCCAAAAAGTCTCAACCAGTAACAACCATTCTCTGAGCAGGCATTTATAATTCGTTGATTTTCATCAATCATTCAACAGATTATATAAACAAACTAATTTTTATTGCGGTTTTAAAAATATTATTCGACTATACATATCTATATATATATATATATATATATTATAGTACAGTCTGTTGTCTGTCCGTGTAATTAATTCACAAGGTGTGGATGGATCATCACCAAAATGAGTATGATGGTTTTACAAGGTTTATGCGGGGAGTACATAAAAACTTTCAGTTTTGTACTTTGCGTTTTGCGTTTTTTTTTTGGGCGTTTTTGCGTTTATTATCACTACTTCACCAAATTTGGTATGAAAGTTCATTAGGTCCATGGAGAGATAATAGACATTTTCAGTTTTCCGTTTTTTTACCACTACTTTGCCCCCTGTTGATGGATCTTCACCAAATTTGGCATGCAGGTTCGTTGGATTCTTGCGGTGATACACGCAAACTTGCGGTTTCACATTTTGTGTTTTGCAGTTTTTATGGGCGTTTTTTTTACAAGTACATATAAGGGAAGCACCTTTTCATGCTCTAAGATAACCTTTCATTAAACATGAATTTACATAACTTCCGTCCAGGGGAACGGGTACTCCAGCTAGTTTTGAATAACTCAACACTTGTATTGAATTTGACAATGAAAGGAGAAAAACGTCACAGAACGGCATTTATTTCACTGGAATTTTAATTTAAAAACAGCAAAAATAATTACCGTCACCTAAGCTAGATTATAGCTATCAGCGGAAGTAGATGTGGATATACCGTTTATTAGATTTAACCTCTACTTGAAAACTCACTCGTTTAATGAAATTTTAAATTCAACTGAATCACTAACACATGTGAATGCTTAAGCCCACGGTATCCAACATTCAAACTATCATTCACTCGCTACACTGTAATCAGTAGTGGAAAAATTCAACTGAATCACTAACACATGTGAATGCTTAAGCCCACGGTATCCAACATTCAAAACTATCATTCACTCGCTACACTGTAATCAGTAGTGAAAAGTTATCGTTCCTGATAAAAAATTATAAATAAAACGTGAAATGAAAATAATTGTGAAACAGCGTACAGTAATATATGATAATAAACAGGTATTTAAAAACAGGGCCAGGTGGTTAGGGCGCTCGACTCGCAATCTGCGGGTTCGAATCCCCGTCCCGCCAAAACATGCTCGTTCGTTCAGCCGTGAGGGCGTTATAATGTGACGGTCAGTCCCACTATTCGTTGGCGGTGGGTGGTGATGACTAGCTGCCTTCCCTCTAATCTTTCATTGCTAAATTAGGGACGGCTAGCCCAGATAGCCCTCGTGTAGCTTTGCGCGAAATTCAGAACAAACAAATTATCGCCACAACAGCAATGTAAAAGTACATATTGCAAACGGTTTATTTGACCGTACATTTGAGAAACTATAATGCATTATACAACGCAAACGAACGATAGAATGAGAATATAAAATAAACTACCTTAATTGGATATTTGGGTAAAAAAAGATATATGTAAAATAGAAGTTTTTAGTAATGCAGAAAAAAATGAATCTAAGAGCAAAAGTAACAGAGGTGGAATAATCTAATTAAAAAAAAAAACTGAAATTATTGTATTACAGATAACTAAGACAAAATTGTTTTGATTTTCGCGCAAGCCGTCCCTAAGTTAGCAATGAAAGACTAGAGAGAAGGCAGCTAGTCATCACCACCCATCGCCAACTCTTGGGCGACTCTTTTGCCAACGAATAGTGGGAATGACCGTCACATTATAACGTCCCCACGGCTGAAAGAGCGAGCATGTTTGGTGAGAGAGGGATTCGAATCCGCGACCCTAACATTGCGAATCACCGCCCTAACCACCTGGCCATGCCGGGCCTTGAGGAAAGGAAAAGAAATTTGGTCACACACATCCTTCGGATTTTGTTTGTTTTTTTGTTTCACAATTTTAAGCAAACTTACACACATGCTATTTTGGCATCGCTGACCCTAATTTTAAACTGACGGACTAGAAGAAAGGGATCTAGTCAACAGCACTCACCGAACATAAGGATTTGATCTTAACTTTATAGTGCACTTATGGCCCCAAAGTGCAGAGCGCGTTTTCGTGGCAACGGGACGCGAATTATAAAAACCCCGGATTCGCGATCCGGTCACACTTCATTTCATATAATATACTATTAGGTCGTCAAGAAATTAATGTCGCTTTTTTTTAGATGAAAAACCCGAACAGCTTATATATCAAAACAAAACATTTATTACATACAATATTCTCC